CTGCCATCAACCGGGACAGGCTCCCAAAAAGGTAAGCGCAACAAAACAAACCCCTATTCTGGTTAAAAACAATGAAAATTGCCAAATGAGTGGACAAAACTCCCCAAATGTAAACGAGCAAACAAGCATGACGTCACACAAGCCACGCAGCATGTCTGCGCAGCTCCCCCTTCCCAGGAGAGGGAAGGGAGAACCCCAGACCCCCACGCCGGCAATCCACACCGCAGTTTTGAGGCTGGATATCAAAATACACGAACATACATGAGGGAGCACGCAGCCAGGACCCAGCGCAACCGCCAAAATAACCCAGTGTTCAAATGGCAGCCCAAGACATGCCACCAACGACGGCAGCAAGCGCAACAAACCTACGAACGTCTAGGGCATGGGGAGAGACTGCAGGCTGGCTAGACAGAATGACCCAGCGGATGACCTGAGAGACCCGAACCTGAGAACAGGGAAGGGAACCAGGATCAACCCAAAGCGCAGCCCCGGCCACAGAGACCATAGCACGCAAAGAACGGCGGAAAACAGCAACCAGACACAAAGAAGAGAAGAGACAGCCTCAAATGAACAAACCGACCACCAGAACCCCAAGAAGCAGAAACCACTGACAAAAACCAGAACTGAAGGGGCCACAACAAACCGAGAGGGAGAGAGAAAAGAGCACCCTGCCCAAGAGCAGGACGGCTCAGGTGGAGCATAAGCAGGCCAGAGGCGAACAATGCCTGAGACAACCCTTAAACGGTGGAGAAGTAACAACAAAACTGAAGCAATCTGAAGTGGCTTCGCCAGTGCTGCACGAGACAGGGTGATGGTATGCGGCCAGATGACGGCCCTGAACCACCACGAGAGAAGGACAAGACCCCCGACAACAAAGATTGCAGCACACCTACGAAGAGACAAAAAGAAAAGGACCAACAGAAAACCCCATACCGCCACCGAGACGAAGCACTCAGGTGGGACACATCAAGAAGCCACCTGATCCCCAGACAGTTGGCGAGAGACTTGAGTTAAAAGTACCAGACTAGAATACTCGAGGAGGAGACCGAACCAGCCCCACCACAGATTGGACCGACCATTTAAAAGAGGCAGAGCCGTGGGAAAAACCCCTGGGTGAGGACACCGAGCAAGCAATGCCGGAACCAAGGCTGTCAAAGAACCTAAAGAAATGTCCACCAGGGAACCAGGAACCCAAACACGGCAAGCCGGGAAAAAACCAACCCAGCTGAGCGCGTCTCCCACTCCTTCAAGGGTCCCCCGGGACCCTTGAAGGAACAATAAGCCTGACAACTGACAACAAGAAGCCGCCGCTTGCAGAAACTGTTGAGTCGCAAACTCCGCAAACAGCAAGGACAAAAAGAGCAGCAAAAAACTTAAGAGCCCAGGAACAGGCAGAGGCCAACAAGGAAACAAGCACCACAAGACAAAACTTGAGACGAAAAGCGAAAAACAGTGACACCACAACCCGCAGGAGCGGCACCACCAGCCCCGGCAGGGCAGAACAATGCACGCGTCACTGAGGAAGGAAGGAGAACCACGAAAGACATGTACTGCACTAAAACAAAAATGTACTGTCCAGGATGGAACACAAAGACATGTCGTATCCAGGGACAGAAGTCATACGCCCCCCCGCCCCAATGAAAAGGAACCGTAGGGGCAGGAGTGGGTGATTGGAAAGCTACAGACACCAGCAGACAGTGCAACACAGATGCTGGTAGTGACAGACAGGGAGAAGAGGAAGAACGCAGAGCTATACCGGAACACGGGCCTGTTCTACAACAGGAAACTGAACAAGAACATATCCCAACCTAGCACGAGCATGAGACTAGCCAAGATGCACCTACCAAGATACACAACAATGTGTAGTATAGAGGTAGGAAGATGTAAAAATGCAATGAAAAGACCTGAAAGACAGTTCAAGCACTGGAAGCCAGGGACAAGAGCATAAACAATCGGCAACAGAAGGTACATGAACCATATACACAGACTAGTAGTGAGGGAAAACAAGACACTCGCCCCAAACTCAAGTGCTAATGAGAGAAGCATACCCCACATTAGCACCAATACCCAGACCCTAAGAACAGGAAACAAGTCCTCCAACCCAAAGGAGGAAGGCGAGGGGTATAAAAGGCATTTATATACGCCGAATGTATACAAGGCATACGTATGTGTATATGGAACGGACATATGGTCGAAACCCACACACTGTGCTCCCACAACGGTCGTCCAAGTCAAAATCTGGGAACGCCCCAAGAATTTTGTTGAAAACATCCTGATAACTCAGTAAACCAAAAATCCAAAGTTTTTAATGTTAGGTGAGGGTAGGTTAGATTAGGTTAGGTCAGTGTTGTACAACTGCGACAAGAGGACGACATAGCTAAGGGGAAATGTTGAACGTTAAAATCAGCGCTCGCCGATGTCAACCCGGGCAACCACCGCAAAAATGCAACATATGGGCCGACCCAACTGCTACTTGGGTCACATCTCATTATGGTTCGGAATATATATATATATATATATATGGGTGCAACCAGGCACTGAACGACGGGCAATGAAAGTGTTCAGAATGGCTGGTGGCTGGCAGTCACCAGACTGTATAATCTCACCTGAAGAGTGTAGGCACTATCTTGACACGACAGAGCGTAGCCGTGTAATAGTCTGGGAGCATTGCTAGAGGAGCATGTCCAGAGATGCTTGTGCAGGAGTTCAGGTGCAGTGGAGAGGCGGAGGAGGGGCCATTCCCAGCCACCCTACACCCATAAGCAGAGAAAGAACTAGATGTGTTCCCAACATATAAAACCCAGAATTCCCCCAAAATCTAGGGGGCGATGACTGGAGAGATAAGATAAGCGAGAGCGGCATACTACCTGGGAGAAAGTGCACGGAACACCGACACATGTTTACACTGACCATACCAAAACAATCACCCACAGCGCATGCGCAGGACGTATGAGGTCCGGGCTGCACCACTCGAATCCCGGGGAAGGTGCCAACAAGGAATATGTAACTATAATTAGTAATGTCGAGACAAAGGACGGAAAGGGGCGACTATTAAAAAATCGGAAATAGCATCGAAAGGGTAGAAAAAGTACGGAAGAGTACCAACGAGTCCTAGAAAGGACTGGAGGTAAGCCCCACTGGAAGGCGACAGACGTTTCACTAATGCAAAAGCCTTGAAGATCTACTCGAACCTTCGAGATCCTAGACCAACAAGCACAAAACCACCAAGGCACAGATGCACCCAATAGCATCCGTGACCATCAGTCATGCAGGACCTGAGACAACAGAAAATGATTGCGGCATGGCACAGAACACAGGTCCTAGAGAAGAAAGGTGGGAAAGTGGAGAAAATGCCCCACAGAAGGACAAAGTCGATGAACCAAAAGGGACATGGAAAGCACAAAGTCAACTTGTACGCAGATGGGGGGGGGTAGTGGAAAACCCCACTCCTAGTAACAGTAAGCCCCGGTCAGAAGATCGGAAAACCCATGTGGGGTCCAACGGGGCCCAAGGCCCCCAAGTAAGCTCCTCCTCAACCCCGGGAACCATCACATCAGGCCCCAAGGGCAAGTCATCCTCCAAAGCCCCGGCCTCAAAAGAAAAAGCCGGGGCAGCCAAAATAGCAGGAAGGGAGCGGGCCCACTGGTCAGACCCCGGAGCTACGGCTAGAGGAACAGACTTGAATGCCTACGACGCAACCCCGGAAGGAGTAACCCCCAAAACTGGTCGAGTCTTAAACCTCGAAACCCTGCCCCGACCTCGAAGTCCTCAGACACCCAGGAGCCGGAAGCAGGGGAAGGGGAAACCGAACGAACCACAGCAGGGCAAGAACGAGGGGGGTGCAAACTGAACCAAGGCCGATGCGACAAATACCCCGAAATCTGAGTCCCTAGAAGCAAAATCGGGCAGCCTCGGGGCATCCAGGGAAGCAACCAAACTTGCGCGTTACAACAACTTATCTGGCAATGCGCGAGCCGCCTGCACCCAAAGAATGTCATCAACAGATTGGGTGAATGGAGCCACAAACAAGCAACAATGCTCGCAGGACTCAGGGTCGAATGTGTCACCGACCCAACAGGCAGCATGACGAAGGCAAAAAAATGAGCATCGCCCTGAGACAAGAGGACAGAGCAACCCTCAAACTCGCACAAAGCGAGAGGAGACTCGAGGGTCTCAACCAGTGCACCCAAGTGCCCCCGCGGGGTTTCCCAGGGACCCTAGGCTGGGTCTGCTAAGAGTTATCCCAGGCAGGGTACTGCTAACCGGCGCCCAAGCTACCAATCGAACTGCTAATGCTGAACCCCCAGAACGTGTCCACTCACGAGGGGGTTCAGCGGTGGAAGTACGGGGGTACCACCATACACACAAATAACCCTAATATAAGGGTGGAGGAAAACCAAGGCAGACCGCCCACTAGGCAAAAACAAAAAGAAAAGAAAAACCTCACAAGAATGACAACGTACCCAGAGGGAACAGAGCCGGCCGCTGTTATAGGTGAAAACTAGCTACGCAGTACCCTGCGCCCCACCAGTGCAAAAACTACCACTTACCCCAAGGCAAACTAGGGTGGAGACCCCCAAAACATTCAGGGCGGTCAATCGCCAAGCAGCGAAACACCAACAGAGATAGACCCAAGGTGACTTATGGAAGAGAACCCCAAGCCCTTAGGGCAGTACTTACAGGGCACTAAGGGAAGGGGACCCTAAGCACATGCAGCCCAAGTACCTGTGAATATTACTCCCAGCTCACACGCCACAGTAAGAGCAGTATTGAAACCGAATATAAACTTTTTTTTAATTTGATTTGCAAACTATTTTTGGTCATGCACACCACGAAGAAGCACTTTTAAACAACTTGGCCATTTAAGGGTTAATATGAACTAGCACCAAGACAACTAACCCAAGATGTTAAAGCCACTGCAAGACATCGTTTCTTAATCTCTTAATATTGCATGTTTGTTCTCAACAAAATGCCAGAAAGCAAATAATATTTAAACATACCTTGCAGCTTCGTATAATTTGACAGTAAGTAAAGTGTCTTCCATAGTCTTGTTGCATAGGGTATTTACCGAAGAGACAAAAAAGTTCAAAGCCCCAAGAAGAGTCTCTCCGTTCTTCGTGAGAGTCCTTTGAGTTTCAGCATTGTATATAAACTCCTCCTGCAGCTCTGGTGATTTCTGAATATAGAAAATAAAGATATAGAATGTTTAACATCAACATGTGCATGCATGTCAGTCACTCTAGAGGGTACATCACATGATACAAACAATATAATGAATGAGAAAATAAACTTGAACTCTGAGGTGACTTGACCATGCGACCAAGGCACTTCCAGTCGCAAACTCTACAACGGTACCATTCTGACTTGCTAAGTTATACAATGTGGGATTCTACTGAATTGACAAAGCCCAGACGTCCTGTTGATTCCCAAAATTAAACCAACTACAAAGAGCAGAGCCATAATGTCCAAACCTGAATTAAACCAACTATTACATAGAGCAGAGCCATAATGTCCAAACCTGAATTAAACCAACTATTACGTAGAACAGAGCCATACTTTCCAAACCTGAATTAAACCAACTATTACGTAGAGCAGAGCCATAGTGTCCAAACCTGAATTAACCCTTAAACTGCTCAGCATAAGGGGGTATAATTCGAAAGATATTTGAATTATGTCAAAATTACTTAAAAATGTTAAACAAATCTCCAACTTATTGGCTTCAGTGTCGTAAAACTTTCATTAAAATATTTTTAGAAATTTATTTTAGGCGAATATTTAAAAAAAAATTAAAGTTTTGTTGATAAGAACAGCTCCTATTTAACTGCAACTGATGGATAATGCAATAATAGAGATGCAAGCACCTGTCCGACTCACAACGAAGAAGAATGGTAGCAAAAAGTGTCCACAAAGTGGCTATACAGCTGATGCCTTTATAGCATTGATGAATAATACACAACACAAATAATAATGATAAGTACGTTATTATTATGCTCTATTTTGTTATACATCATATAAATACATTGCCCAATGTTATTATCACTTACTTTCAACAATGTCCAAAAAATATTTTTTTTAAAAGATTTTTTTTTTTTTAGGTTTTGAGGTTTTTTCCTCCTTTGTTTATTATTTGAATTTGTTGTAACCTTTACATCCTGGAGAATGCATACTCCTAACTATGTGAAGACACAATTAATTTGGTCAACAAATAAATTAGTCACAACTCTCAGAACTTGGGACTTTGAATTTGTGTTGGCTGATTTTTTCACAGATTTCAAACTATTTTCTTTGTTTCTTTAGGTTGTTTTGATGATTAGGGACCAGATTAGGGCTTTTTTACTTATATAAAATATCCCTTAAATTATTATAATTATCCCTATATTTAGTTGTTTGGGGGGGTTATTTTTTCTTTACTATATTTCAACAGTGACCTACAACTTTCACATAGTTGAGTACGAATGCCAAACAATGTTTATTACAACATACAAGTAAATTCATGAGTTAGAACTGCCTTATTCATTGTCAATAACTTGAACTTCAATTATATCGATAACTAGATTTTCAACTTACTTCGGTATCCAAAAATCTAGTTTCTGACCGATTCTCACCATTTTTACATATAATGTGCACAGCTGTCTGTTCTACAATCCCTATTGAATTGATTTTTCATAAACTCTAAACGTTTGGAGTTAAAAAATTTTGTTGTCTAAATTTACACATACAGTACTGTATTTCAAATGCCATATTGACCAATTTTTTTTTTTTACAGTAAACTATACTGAAAACCTATATTCTAAATATATGAAAATGAAGATCATATCCTATTTTGAGAGAATAACAACACCAAATGAACAGTTGGTGGTATTTTATATTTTTGCAGCCGATTTCAAAATATGAAGTTTTCAATGTTCAATTTCATAATTATTTTTCATTTTCTTGTTTTTCATGTGACACTAGTATCATTTAGACAAAGTTGGAGCATTTGCCTAGTAGATTATACACAAAATATAGTTTCGGAAAATTTAAAAAACTGAGCTCAATGTCACACATCATATGAAGTTTTGCACAGTTTAAGAATTAAACCAAGCATTACACAGAGCAGAGTCATATTGTCCAAACCTGAATTAAACCAACTAATACGTAGAGCAGAGCCATATTGTCCTAACCTGAATTAAACCAAGCATTACACAGAGCGGAGTAATATTGCCCAAACCTGAAGACAATCCTATGATAGAGCACAGGACCACTTATTCTAAACATTAAAACATAATGCCTCCCTCCTTAAGTGGGAAATGGATAATACTTACATAATAAGTTATGACTTCCATAATTTCTCAAATTAAGCTTTTCTTTTATTATGTTACCAAAATATCTTTGTAATTTTAATTTATAGGGTTAGTAACGATAGTCATTAGAATGTTGAATCAGCAGTTGTAGTCTTGACTAGGAATTACCTATGGACAATTTTGGTGGTAGTTCTACTATCCTAATCTAGTTTATGGCAAGCCTGCCTTGGTAATTGCCTGATTTATTATAATTTTCATCTTTGTGGCACACATGCCCATTTAGCCATCACAGCTGGGCTGATCCGGTAACTAAGAAACACTTGTCAAGGCCCCTCTTGAAAGCTTGCTCCAGCAAAATGTCTAATATTCATTAGCAGGAGGTTGAAGAGTCATGGACCTCTGATGTTCTGTAAATGTACTCACAAGACAAGTTATGCTGCCTCGGTGCACTCAAATGATCACCATACTGCACACAACCACCTGGTGATGGTCAAGGCTAAAATAGCCATGACCCCCTAAAATTATGATTTTCTTGGCCAATGCAATCACTAGATTTTGAAAGACATGACTGATGCTGTACTACGGGTCAACCAAGAGACTGCCATTAAATTTTCTCATGTTGCTACAGTAAGAAAGGTAAGGAGAGCATTGTTGGAAATAATTTCCACATTTAAGCATTAATAAAACCAAAAATGTAAATAACAATTAAAATTTAATCAATAAAATAAAATTATACAAGGACTTGTCCTCTGTTACAACTGTAGAACTATGCGGCCGCATACTGTGGCTGACACAATACTCTAAAATTTCTTGTTGCTATCTCCTCACTGAAATTGAGGAACTGTAGTTGCTCCATTAAATATCTCTATTAAATAAGGGTATGGAGATTGAAATTAATACTTAATTGGTATGTTGAGTTAATAATATAATAATCTGACTTCTTAATTCATAAGAATTTAAAGACCACTCCTAATTTAGCATTAACCTTCGCACTGACTATCAAGTCGAGAGGTGCGGGAGGGTGGAGGGTTCGCCATTGTGGATAGTGCCCGTTGGTGTTACACCACGTTGGCGAACATAACTCTTGCAATAGTTGGCCAACAGCTGCATAGCCCTGTTCACAGCCACCACCCTGTTTCTGTCTCACAACTGTTAAGTATTCTGACCCCATTACGCAAGGTTTGGCTATTTCTCGAGTAAATACATGTTGGAAATGAGGGGGGGGGGGTAGTTAGGCTGCAGGAAGACCCCATAATCAATGTAAAAAATTAATTCCTTAATGCAAATTAAAGTTAACTATTGATAAAATTGGGATTATTAATTACATAAATATGGGATTTTCCTATTTAATAAAGAATTTGCCAACATAAAATGAATCGGCATCATTACAAGTTTACTGGAAGCCACTACATTTACCATGAGGTCAGCCCTGGGCCCATACTGTGATTCCTTCAACTTGCGTGCTACAGGGACCAGATTCATGAAGCAGTTTCACAAGCACTTACAAACCTGTACATCTTTTCTCAATCTTTGGCGGCTTTGTTTACAATTATTAAACAGTTGATGAACTCTGAAGCACCAGGAGGCTGTTTATAACAACAGCAATAGTTGATTGGGATGTTTTCACTCTTGTAAACTGTTTAACATTATTGCTCTCTTTGGACACCGATCATGTCCATTTTTTTCTCTTGAGTCCTAGCAGTGGTCAGGACTCGCGCCCACTACAAAAATATTTGTATAAAATTCATTTTTTATCCGATCGACCTCGAGATAGTTTCAAAATAAGCACCTTTAGAATGTGCACAATTTGATACCAAAATGAAAGATGTAACACAAAACTTGATGTCAGAACACTTAAAAGATTATAAATATGTTTTTGGGTCTAAATTTTAAATTTTAAGATATTTGTTAAAATTCTATTTATTGTGCTATTATTATGGGACTAGTTTTAAAATGTGCGCCTTTATATTGTGAACAATTTGATACCAAAACGAGCGATGTAACATGAAAATTGATGTTACCAAACTGAGCGAGTATACACATTAGGTTGTGGTGTGCAAATTGGTGCTCGTTCACGGGTAATTTAGGCTTTGCTGCAGGGAGTCTCACCAGGCTTTTGGACATTATATGCATATACATCTGCAGGGAATTTAATTGCGAACACAATGATACCAAAAAGGAATGATGTAGCACGAGAATTAACGTGAGAAAACTGAAATGAGTATACACATTTAGGTGTCGTCGCACGCTCGCCCGCACCATTAGCCCCATGACGCCAAAGTCTGCAATGCTCACGTGGCGCACGCGATAGTGTTAATAAATGTAACTAAAGCCGTCAAAGATTGTGGAAAGATGGACAAGTTCATAAGTACTTGTGTAACTGCTTCGTGAATCTGGCCCCAAATCACCAAAACAGCTAAGCTGCTCAAACTCATTAACTAACAGTTTAAATTCTTTAATATTTTAACAAATGAATATAGCAATTGAGTCTACTCATTAAATTAAGCAAGACTGAAATAAAACACTATATAATCTTAAATTAATTAACCTGAACAACTGAATTACCCTCCACTATGGGATTATGTTACATCAAGTTTTAATATACAGTCCACTTAATTCAATAAATAAATTAATGATGCAACCCACACAAGCATTAAGTATATTTTATAGCATGAAAGAAAAAAATAATTGTGTGTATTAATAATGATAATGTATTGTACTGGTTAAGGTCAAAGAACTTAATTATTGGAGACGGATACTATGCAAGGAGAGAATGTTCAATATAAAACAAGGAGAAATGAAGAAGCAAGTAATACAAGGGAGAGAGAGATCTCTCATCATCTCTCTCATGATGAGAGAGATTTCATGATCTCTCCTTGGGAGATAAGGGAGAGATCATGAAGGAAACACAACTCAACATGTGGAGAAACAATAGCAAGACAAGTATATACTTCTTCTGACCTTCACCTGCAGGAATAAGGCATAGACATGGAATGAGAGAGAGATGGATATAGAATTACAACTATTGAAATGAACTACATGTTTCAAGAAATACAGTACATGCAACTTTAACAGGAGATAAAAATGCAATGCATAAGCAAACAGAATATAGGGGATGGCAGAAATAGCCAAAGTAATATGATGTGCAAGTCAAATACAGGTAGTGGGGCTCCCATTGTACCACCAGATGATTACTCTAACAAAATAAAAGGGTGGGCTACAAAAAATATTTTACATTAGGTACAGCTAATTGTCTTTATAACTTGAAAGTAGTTGTACTACCTTGAGATAGTCTGTATGATGCCCTTTTCCTTAAAGGAAGCTCCTAAGGAGGACACAGCATCCAATGCAACTGAGGCCACCCAATTCACTATCAAAAGCTTTACAAGCACAAAATGTCTCCTGCCATAAGAGACTAAAGCAGTACAGTACATTCATATGTTAAGGCTGTAGGACACAGTCAATTTTTTACACAAGGGATCTCTCTTTCATGGCAAGGAAGAACACATCAGAACAAACACAAGCATAGTCATTCATTTGGAAAAGGACACAGTTACTGTATATTAAGTGTAATATAAAAAATACAGTATTACACTAAAATATGGTCACTTTTACCTGGGCCAAATCTGCAAAGGCATCTCCCAGCTGTTGCTGTGTTTGTACCACATGAAAGAAATGCGAGGATAAAGCCCTCGCCAAGCGTAATATCTGGGAATATTTACGTTGTGTGTCACGAAGTGATTCAATTTGCCCTTCTAATTCTGAAAATTAAAACAAATATATTACTATAAATTCTATTTAAGAAATTAGAATGTCTATTTGCTTGACTTTGGAAAGTCTACATCTCAAGAATTACTAATCAGTTTATACAAAGTTAATTTGTAAGCATATACTCATGGAAGAAACACAAGCTAAGTTTTCAATTTTCCCATTTGTGAAGAATTATAAATAACCGAGTAGTATGCTCACCTGCATCTACTGTCCGAGATGATTTTCCTAACTTCTCAGATAAGAGTTGCTTGGTGCACTTGTATGTAGATATTGACCAAGTCTTAATCGTTTCCATTTTACTAGAACTTGTACGAACTACAGCAGCCCCATTTTCAGTGCCAGGAGACGTTGGTGTAGCTAATGGAATGGGCGACATGGCTGGAAACGGCGAGATATAACAGTCCCACTTATTGCCGTATTCTGAAACATTCCTTACATAGGGGTCTAGGGCTTAAATGGTCTATCATGGGAGGTGGAAAAACAGGTACTTTTTCTTGTCTGCCTTAACACTATACAATACTGTACAGTAATTCTGACAACTACAGTAAATGCATCACCCAGTGCTTCTAGACTAGTGATGAAATGCACTGCCAAGTGGATGTAGTGTGCAGATGTGTAAATTTCATCCCATTCTCTTGATAAGATAGCACTTTTTAAAACTATGTGAATGATCATATAAATATCGATGCGATGGACAAAATAGAAAGTAGAATTTGGTACTATTAATTTTATAGTCCAGAAAAAATAAAGCTAAGAACCATACCTAAATATTCCTAGGCCCAGTATAGCACATATATACAGGGTACTATATAAGGCCTGAACGAGCATGTATTAGGCCTTGGATGATTAGGTTAGATCAGTTTTTATTAGCAACATAAATAAAAACACTTTTCCTGTTTGTCCAAATTCAATAATACAAGTCTATTTTCTACCGATTCTTCACGTCCATATTTATACAATTGACCACATTGTTACTGCAAGTACTGTACTGTATTTTCATATAAGGAGAACGGGTTGCTAAATTGTATGCCTAATGGAGAGACCAAGTTTATTCATCTTAGTTAATGCTTAATCTTTATGCACAGCATTCATCTTAATATACTGTTCTTTTAATGCAATTATATACTTATTTAATTAAGTTTTGACAATTCTGCTCATGCCCAACACATTAACTTTCTTAAAACTCACCAGGACTGCTGGCACTATTGGGTGAAGTGTAGGCTGAGCCTGGGTTGTGAGGGTACTGCGGTAGGGACGTTGGTCGAGCCTGAGGAGTGGGAATAGGCTGTGAAGGAGAAGTGAGCTGAGGCTGTACCCCCGAGTTGGGTATGGCATTGGACATGGGGATGCCCGCTAGAGGCTGGGTCTCCCCACAGTGTGTTCCGTCATTGAGAGCAACACTCTGCATTCCTCCCTCACTAAGATCTCCATCCATGTTTCCTACTGGATCTGTAACACATGCACAAAACAACATTTACCAAGTTGAATATTTTTAAAACTTCAAAATGCCTTTCTGTTCTTGCTACAAAATTTCTTTGAAGTCAACAGCATCAATCTGCATTACCAAGGAAGATGTCCCAAGAACTGTCCATCATTATGCCATTTGTAATACCACATGCTTGATCTTGTAATGACATCCCTTTACATACAGTATTCTTGCTTCTATCTTTCACTATCACTCTGGGCCCCCTTGTCTTTCCATGTCATTTCAGTGCCCTTATTCATAACTCTACATTCATTCTCCTCTCACACCCATACCTTCGGAGAACTATAATCACTAACTTATGAACTCCTTTCTCTGATGCATAGTATGTCTGACAATTATTTTTCTCCCCACTCCCCAAATTTGAATATAATAAAAATCCCCTTCTAATCTGTACTACTAACACCATTTTATAAGTTTACAAAATCCTATTAAAGAAAGAGATCTAATGGTGGTTTAGGATGTCATTCACGGATCAAATGAAGAACATTGTTCGAGGAGCATTTGCTATGTTTACCGACTTTCATTATCACAAATACATGTATAACAAAATACTAAAGAAATTATTCACGATCTTAACGAGACCAAAGCTAGAATATGCAGCAGCTGTATGGTGCCCATAGTTCAAGAAGCTCATCACTATAAACTAGAAAAGATGTAAAGACATGCAACTAAATGGCCTATAGAGATGAAGGAGAAGAGCTAGAGGTTAGCAGCATTATATAAATCAAAGTTAGAAGATAGAAAAAAAAGAGGCAACATGATCGATAAATACAAAACAGTAACAGGAATCAACAAAACGGACAAATAGAATTTTTAAAAACTGCAACTTCAAGAACAAGACGACAGGTTCAAAATGAAGAAACAAAGATGCCAGAAAAGCATTAGAAAATTAACTTTGCAAACAGAGTGGTAGACAGTTGGAACAAGCTAAGAGAGAAGATGGTGGAGGCTAAAACTGCCAGTAAATTCAAAGCATTATACAACTGAGTACTGGGAAGACAGGACACCACGAGCATAGCTCTCATCCTGAAACTACACTTAGGTAATTATATATATATATATAGGTAAAACCTGTCACCTTGGGGTCAATACGTGTCACAGAAGAACAAGTGACCATCCAGCCACACACACACACACACACACACACAGGATAAACACCTGCCACCCCTAGGTTAATACAAGTGTCAGGTGGGGTACAATAGTGACCAGCCACACACACACAGGATAAACACCTGCCACCCCTGGGGTCAATACAAGTGTCAGGTGGGGGACACACACACAGGGATAAACACCTGCCACCCTGGGGTCAATACAAGTGTCAGGTGGGGGACACACACACAGGGATAAACACCTGCCACCCTGGGGTCAATACAAGTGTCAGGTGGGGGACACACACAGGGATAAACACCTGCCACCCTGGGGTCAATACAAGTGTCAGGTGGGGGACACACACACGGGGGATAAACACCTGCCACCCCTAGGTCAATACAAGTGTCAGGTGGGGTACAGTAGTGACCAGCCCCACACACACAGGATAAACACCTGCCACCCCTGGGGTCAATACAAGTGTCAGGTGGGGGACACACACAGGGATAAACACCTGCCACCCCTGGTGTCAATACAAGTGTCAGGTGGGGGACACACACACAGGGATAAACAGCTGCCACCCCTGGGGTCAATACAAGTGTCAGGTGGGGGACACACACAGGGATAAACACCTGCCACCCCTGGGGTCAATACAAGTGTCAGGTGGGGGACACACACACAGGGATAAACAGCTGCCACCCCTGGGGTCAATACAAGTGTCAGGTGGGGGACACACACACAGGGATAAACAGCTGCCACCCCTGGGGTCAATACAAGTGTCAGGTGGGGGACACACACAGGGATAAACACCTGCCACCCCTGGGGTCAATACAAGTGTCAGGTGGGGGATACACACACGGGGATAAACACCTGCCACCCCTGGGGTCAATACAAGTGTCAGGTGGGGGACACACACAGGGATAAACACCTGCCACCCCTGGGGTCAATACAAGTGTCAGGTGGAGGACACACACACAGGGATAAACACCTGCCACCCCTGGGGTCAATACAAGTGTCAGGTGGGGGACACACATACAGGGATAAACACCTGCCACCCCTGGGGTCAATACAAGTGTCAGGTGGGGGACACACACACAGGGATAAACACCTGCCACCCCTGGGGTCAATACAAGTGTCAGGTGGGGGACACACATACAGGGATAAACACCTGCCACCCCTGGGGTCAATACAAGTGTCAGGTGGGGGACACACACACAGGGATAAACAGCTGCCACCCCTGGGGTCAATACAAGTGTCAGGTGGGGGACACACACACAGGGATAAACACCTGCCACCCCTGGGGTCAATACAAGTGTCAGGTGGAGGACAATAAGCGAGGGTGCCGTCCCAGACACAGTAATGGGCGGGTCCTCACACTGCAACACCTTAAGACATATACGCCGGTGGCCCCCGTCGTGCCGGAGGCCGCCGGCGAGGCCCCGTACTCGAGGGCACCCTCCCCCAGCACGGACATGACCGCGAAATAAAAAATACCTTCCCCTAACTATAGGAAAACTTGAAAGGCTAAGTTACCCTCGGCGCCAAACCACATGACATGTCAGTTGGGCGCTATTTCACCACACCCCCGCCCCCACTCTCGCCTCCCGCCACACTTTTGGAGGCTACATAACCCTCCACAGTCAAATTGCAAGAGTAGTGTCTACATACCGAGGGCTGTGGTTCATAAAATAAAACAATTTGGGAAGCTGTCAAATATCATCAAAACACACAAGCTGTCTGCTGATGACGTCACATGCCGCGTATCACCTAGAGTAGCCGACTCCCTCTTTTATGATACTATTTTTACCGCTTTTACAACCTGTATTATTAATATATACCCACTACAAATCATTATAGATTGCATTAACATTCGAATGCATGAGATATAATGAAATGCTATTGGCAAAGATAGCGAGATAAATATAAAGTAGTTGAAGTGGGAAGTGGTTGGGGGGCCACATACTACAGCACAACTATCCACACTTGTATTTATAGTAATTACTGTAGAAAGTTTTGATCTACAGCAGGGGCGGGTAGGCTGTTGTAGACCAATATTACCAGGCAGCCTCCACCCGCGCCCCTAGGGTCTGTGCCCCCTGCCTCGCCTCTGCCCATTACTGCCCGGTCTGGGGCACACCGACCATATCCTATCATATATATGACAATAATTTCATTTTAGGTATGTGTTTTTTATATGCATAATTGAGTATGACTTATATGTTTAATAACTTGTATGACATCTTTAAATCATGCGGAAAATGGTTTCTATATACTGTATATTCAGTCGGCCTATAAATATATAGTACAAATAAGAGTTGCAAAACTTGTCTCAGCGCACAAATTCTCATGGAGAGATAGGTCTAATGACGGCGACGTCAGCTGTAATTTAGAAATTGTACTTGTGGTCGATCTCGAACCCATTGTTGATATGACGACTTATATTGAATTTTGTAACTAGCTCATCAAGATTGTAACTTGCTTAGCTAAATGAATTGTGGGGTTTAGTCCCTAAGCCCATTATGTGCCTCTGTAACTCTTTCCACTACCGCCGCCAAGATGGGTATGGGGTGCATAATAAATGAACTAAACTGAAAAACATTTTTGTTATTAACAAGCTTAGGTATGCACAGTAATATGCTGCTACCTTATTCTATGTGAAGGATTACACAATGTAGATCAAACACTAGTTATAAATTCATCTAATATCCCCATCTCATGGGATGGTTAGACATACATGGAATCAGGAAAGAACATTTACCTGAATTTACCTGAAGGCTACTAAGACACTAATGGCCTCCACGAGGACAGGAAGTCGGCGGCCTTGATGATCTTTACCCGGTATATTTTAAAACTCAACACAGTTTTGGCCTTTACGGCTTCGGCGGGTAGGCTGTTCCATGGATTTATTTGCCTGATAGCCACCAACACTAGTGATCTCGACGAGGACAGGAAGCCGGCGGCTTGTCAAAGGTCCCCCCATTTGCCCTGATGATCCCTTTCTAGCTGTATTTTTTAACCCAGCAGAATTTTGACGTTTACGGCTTCGGCAGGAAGGCGATTCCACGGGTTTTCAACCCTATGGGTGAAAAAGCATCTCGTATTTTCTATCATACATTGTGGTTTGTTGAGCTTGAACACGTTGCTCTTTGTTTGTGTTGCATCTGACCTTTTGAAGGCATTGTTCGGATCGACATCGGATGCAATAGGTTAAGAAGTATAGGTTAGGAATTGTCTCCAAAGAATTCTCAAAGAATTACTCATTATTGCTGTCTAAGATAATTAGACGAGCCAAAACTAAATACTACGAAGATAAATTTACCCAAATAAAGAGCAACATTAAACAAACTTGGAGAACAATTTCTCAAATATTGGGATCAAAGAAGTCTTTAAATAACAAACCGACTCTCCTGTCTAATAACGATGGTCAGCTTTCAGCCTCTGATTCTGCTACTGAGTTCAATAGGTTCTTCTCTTCCATTGGTTCATCCCTTGCAAATGATATTCCATCTTCCAGTACAGACATTAATGACTATCTTTCAGGTAACTATCCACAGTCTCTGTACCTAAAGCCTATTAATTCCACTGACGTCAATGAGATAATCCTTTCCCTTAAAACCAAGTCTGGTGCCCTTGAGGAGATACCAACTTTAATTTACAAAAAAGCCTCCAGATCTTTAGCCCCTGCTATTGCTTTCAACAAGTCACTTGAACTCCAAACCTTCCCAGATATTCTAAAAAAAGCGAGAGTAACGCCTGTCCACAAATGTGGTAATCTCACAGATGTTAACAACTACAGACCTATATCTATCCTGCCAAACTTGTCAAAAATTTTTGAAAAAACAAATCTATAAGCAGCTTTACTCATATCTAGGCAAACTCAATATACTTAGCCCTTGCCAATATGGCTTCAGACCCAAAAAAAGCACTAACGATGCACTTATTAGTATGCTTAACTCGATTCATACAGCTCTTGATAAAAATGAGTTCTCTGTTGGGTTGTTTGTGGACCTGCGTAAAGCTTTTGACACTGTCAACCACCAAAACCTTCTTCTTAAATTACATCATTATGGAGTCAGAGGACACTCCCTACAATACCTCAAATCCTACCTTACTGACAGGCTCCAATATGTTTCTGTGAATAATACAATTTCTCCCACCCTACCCATCAACATTGGTGTTCCCCAGGGCAGCATACTTGGCCCTCTCCTCTTTCTCATCTACATTAATGACCTTCCAAATGCCTCCCAACACCTCAAACCAATTCTATTTGCTGACGACACAACCTTCATTTACTCCAGTCCTGATCCCCTTGCTCTAAATGCCACAGTAAATACTGAGCTAAATAAAGTCCATCTGTGGCTAACTGCCAACAAACTCACCCTTAACATTGACAAAACCTTTTATATTCTGTTTGGCAATAAATCCTCTAATCAAATAAATCTCAAAATAAACAATACCCAAATTTGTAACAAATTAGATGGCAAATTCCTTGGCATTCTCATTGACCATAAGCTTAATTTCCAGGGACACATTCTAAACATATCAAAAAAAGTTTCAAAAACTGTGGGCATTCTTTCTAAGATCAGATATTATGTACCACGCCCTGCCCTGGTGACTCTCTATTACTCCCTTATCTATCCATATCTCAACTATGGTATTTGTGCTTGGGGCTCTACTACCCAAAATCACTTACGTCCTCTAATTACTCAACACAAAGCTGCTATTAGGACAATATCCAATTCTGGCCCCAGACATCACTCGGTACCCCTACTTAAATCTCTGAATATGTTAGACATTAAGTCACTGCACATTCTCTCATGTGTATTATACATATATAAAACGCTAAACTATAATGCCAATCCTGATCTCAAAAGCTTCATAGAAGGTTGTATCAGAACCCATGAGCATCACACCAGAAATAAATACAGTTTTGATATTCCTAGAGTACGACATAATCAAACTAGAAATGCTCTACAAATCAAGGGACCCAGAATGTGGAATGACCTTCCCAACCATGTTAAAGACTGTACCTCTCTCAACCAGTTTAAGTTAAAAGCGAAGCTATACCTAATAAATTCCCTGTAACCTACCTTACCCTTCTATTGTCAACCAATGTCTGTTTTTTTCTTTAAAGAGCGCTGTTTGTCGACATAATTGTATTTGTGCTGCTTTTTCATCTATGTTTTCATTTCTTGTTTTCATTCTACTCATTATGCTCAATTAGTATTAAGCTTGTCATTTAAGTTTATCATGCCCGAAACGCTTTGCGTAATAGTGGCTTTAGGCATTGTATGTACTAGCTCTACCTATAAGTTAAACAATCCTTGTAAATATTTATTGTATGTATGTACCTTACCTAAATAAAATTGTATTGTATTGTATTGTATTGTATTGTATTGTATTGCAATGATCTAGGTGGGGGCGCCCCAATTGAACGACTACTCTCTTTTCCTTGAAGGTAAAGGTGTGCTTGATTATTCCCAGGGTTTGGTTCGCTTTCTTTTTTACTGCTGCTCTCACTTGTTGTGCAACTCTTAATGCATGATGGATTCTGACTCTAAGGTCATTCTCTTCATCTATGTTTTCTTCAGCTTTTCATCATCTATGTGTTGCTGTCAATTTGATAGTTGTGACGTAGTTGTGACTCTGGTGACTCTCTATTACTCCCTTATCTATCCTTATCTCAACTATGGTATTTGTGCTTGGGGTTCTACTACCCAAAATCACTTACGTCCTCTAATTACCCAACACAAAGCCGCTATTAGAACAATATCCAACTCTGGCCCCAGACATCACTCGGTACCCCTACTCAAATCTCTTAATATGTTAGATATTAAGTCACTGCACATTCTCTCATGTGTATTATACATATATAATGTATAATGTTTTATTACCCTGTTAATTAACCATTACTAAGCTAATTATCTTCAAGATCATTTTTTTTTTATGATTATTATTTTTCTTATTATTTTTTATTTTACATTTATATTGTCAGTCTCTACTGATTTTTTGTGTTTTATTTTATGTAACTTCTGTGTCCTCCCTGGCTATCTATTGGATCTTTATTTTACTTCTAAATTGTTACTATTTTATTGTATCTGCTTTTATTCTTGTGTTTTGCTTTATCGTGTATCTTGTATCGTGATCCCTCTGCATCTCTATGCACACTGATATTGATCCTGATCAAAATCTTCTGTCTCATATCTATACCAACCAGCACATTGATCATCATTATTGTAAGTATTTCACAGCACACCAGGCTAAAAACAAACTCCAAAATAGCACCTGTCTATCAGTTTACAACCAAAATGTTAGATCACTTGGTAAACATTTTGACGATTTAAATGCACTACTCACAGCACTAGGTACTAACCTATCGTTCATTATTTTAACAGAAACTTGGCTAAATAAAGACTATACCCAACTCTACAACTTAGCTGGTTATAAAGCCATTCATAACTGTAGGCCTAATAAAAAAGGTGGTGGCACAGCTATATATTACAGAGATACATTTATCTGCAACAGTGTTATTAGTGACAGAGATGACTACTGTGAATATACTTTTGCTCAGTTTACAATTAAATCCCTTAAATCCTCTTTGACTATTGGAGCCATCTATAGATTTCCTAATACTAACATAGCTTCTTTCT